CCCATAAAAATGCATTAATTAATTTTCAATGCATTTCTATGCGAAATTTGGATTCAACTTGCAAACTTTTCAACTAGTTCTGGGCATCTAATAGAGAATGTATTTCCAAAGGGTGTTGCAGCAAGGAAACTAACTGTGCCTCATGACTTCTAACTGGATTACAGTACCTGCTTCCTGATTTCAGCTACTATAGTTTGTATTCAGTTTTTTTGGCTTTGTGTGGCCTAACCTGTTGTGCCTTGCATGCTATAAACATTCAATTATGTCAGAAAATGGAGATTTGGTCTTATGCTGAGCATGTGCTACTGCTGGTGAATGGGATCAGGTTAAGCTTTGTGTTGCTATTCTTTTCCATAACCTAAAGTAAATAAGGAAAACCAGCTGTTAAATAGTTTAATTCCACTATTTATCCTCCACACAACTAAAAGGGACCTCTCAATGCAGTGCCAAATCAGACAGACCATTTCTAACTTAATATAGGCTTGAGCTGTAGCTGGGCAGAGTTGCACAACAATCTCATCCGTCATTGAGACATTTCTATAAGCATGGGGAGGAGGTGGATGAAAGGAAATGTAAAATATAGGTAGTGTGGGATAGGCCTTATCACTGGCTGATAATGGTCTATATTAATGCCACTGTTGATTGTTCACTTTACATGGTTCAAATGTTATTCTGTTATAGTTTATTAAATATTATATTACACTATTTGGTTCAGAATATATTTTCCCTGTGTTCCTCCTCTAAAAATTAGGTGCGTCTTAAGGTCATGTGCATCTTATGGAGCAAAAAATATGGTAAATCCATGCAATCTCTGTGCTTCATGGTGAGGAAGCCTTGCAAAGCAGGCTGAAAAGCTTTTACGCCCTGGAGTCTCTGCCCACAGAGACACTTTTTGGCCACAGCACTCACCATACTGAGATTGGTGTTGAAGCTGGAGGCGCTCTCCCCTCCATTGACAATAATCCAGAAGGGCATGTAGCTGGAATCCTCAGTAGCTACCAACAGAGACATCCGCCTGTACAGGGAGAGAGCAGTGGCTGCAGAGTAAAAATTGGGATCCTGTTGAGAGTTCAAGACCTGTTCAAAATCAGAAGGCACGGCTGCCTGATTCAATGAGAACCAATATGTTCGCACGTGCTTGGTTCAACCAGAAACCCAGCTCTTTGTCTCACATAAAACTTACCACTGAGTTTCGCTTCTTCCCCAGAAGACCCAGTGAAAGAATTAGAAAGCTGAGCTACACATGGAGCAGAGAAGAACTCTTTCTTCGCTCTTGCCTTCCGCAAACCCAGACCACTCCCAGGAAAGACGAAGAAATGCCACCGCGGAAACATGCTCCCTTTGCTCCCAAACATTGCAGTGACAGACAGGTTGCTCAACAATCCTAAGCCTCAGATCTCATCCCCCCACAGGTCCCTGTTTGATCCTCATGCAAACTCACTGGACTACTACCCCACGGTGCATGTAGACTCTGATGTAGTGGGAGCCGATAGTGCCGTTTGATTCCCAGTAGGTCTTGGGGTTGCCATCCAGTAATCTGTTGGCCATGTGGGTGTTGGAAGAGACTTCCACCCGTTCCCAGCACGTGTCCTCCTTCACTTCCCTGCTGCAGCCTGAGCCGAAGGAGAAGGAGCTGAAAAGAGCTGAGCTTGGCATAACCAGGCAGAGCCTTAAAAAGAATGAAGTATGTAACATCCCAAAGATTTAAAGGATGGATATTTACCTTGACAAAGGTTGTGCAAGAAGACATCAAAGAATGGGACGTTGATGGGCTGATGGCTTTGCCTATGTTCATCTATTTGTCGTAGAACCATCTGTAAATGTGATGATCGAGGAGGGGAGAAATGGAAGGAATACTCGAAAAATAATTAGGCAAAGCTAAATTTAAAGAAACACATCTGTTCTGAGACTTAGAGGGTGGGGAAGAGATCCTGTTTCCAGAAAATAAGAAAGCCACAGTGGCTGAAATCCTGTTAGACTTGGTGTAGTATAAGATTACACTAGTGTAGGTTTATAAGGAGTTACACCCAGGCAGCCCATGCATCTGACTATGTAACCAGCTGTGCAATAAAGTGAACAGCCAAACACACAACTGACCATGCAACTAGCTGCACAACTAATTATGCCCTGACCTTGGTACTGTACAAATTTTGCAACAACTTCGCACAACTAATTATGCCCTGACCTTGGTACAAATTTAGCAACAACTTCAAGTTACGCAGGTGTAGCTATGTACCAGGATTTTGGCCACCAGATCGGACTCAAAGCCTATTCAATCAAACGTTCCCATTCACAAAACAGCCACTCCACTATCTATGCAAAATCCACAAAAAGCATGTGAGTGCACCAGCTTCCTGTTTGTGCTGTCCAGCAACCAATACATGGAGTCATATTGCCCCTGCATTATGAATATATGGAAATATATGGCCACTCGGATGAGTAGCCCTGTGCTCCATGAATTTGTTCAATCCCTTTCTAAAGAAGTCCCAAGTTGCCATTCATCACTACCCTTTGTAGTAGTTTAACTGTGCTCTAGTTGAATAATGACTCCCTTTTGTCTTTCTTGAATCTCCTATTATTCAAATTCAGGGGAGGATTGGAGATTTTACATTATGAGAGAGAAAAGCATCTCCCCATCCCTTTACTCCACACCATACATAAAACGGCAATGGAGGTCTCACCAGCTGGTAGGTCACCTGTTCCAGCGACCTCAACAGGTTTGCCCATATTTCCTCTGGATGCCATTAATGATCTATGCAGCATTCTCAGCAAGTGGCTCCTGGCTTGCTCTCCCGAGAAAAACCTATGGAAAGGATTAGGACCTCCTCACCTGAATGCACCCCGCCAGGATGCTGATGGTCATCTTCTTATACAGGCTCGCGTACTTCTCACAGCTGCTCAGAACAACCCCCAGTTCTGCCACCTGTGGCAGATCGGCGCCGTGCTTCTCCGTCACTTTAGCCAAGGTCTCCTTGGCACCCAGACAGCACATCAGAACCGCACAGTCTTTGTTCAGGGTGCCCAGGCCGTGCAGGAAATGGATGAACTGTTGAACCACCTGCAGATAAAGGGCAAGCCTTGCCCAGTTAGCAACCAGGTTTTCTGAGTGGTCTTTTACAGAATGGCTCACCTGTGGCTCTCATTAAAGAGGGGAGACAAGAAGGGACCAAAGTTTTACACATTTCCTGTGTGTACTGTTATTAGTAGCAGTGATTTATAATTTTGGGTGCATAGAACTTAAGAGTCAGTGTAGTGTTCTAGACAGAATGTTGGATTAGTACTCGGGAGACCTGGGTTCTAATTCTGGCCCAGCCATGGAAACCCATTTGGAGGTGACACTGGTAAAATTGCTTCTTCTTCGTGGCCTCTGTGAATTCTAGAGCTTAAAGTAACCATTTTAGGACCTCCCCAAGCCCTCGTGGTCCGTCCACTACAAGTCAGACGTCATTTGATGGCATATAGCACAGACAGACAGACATATCTTAACCCATAACTGATTACCTTTAATATTTATAGGGTTCCTTTAAAGCAGGGGTCCCCACCCTACCCCGGTCCACGGCCTGGTGCCAGTCCGTGGCCTGGGCCGGACTACAGAGACAGATCTCCCACCCACCCTGCACGCACTCCCCCCACAGCCCCTTCACACATGCACACAAGTGTGTGAGCACCCCCACCCCTTCATGTATACGCACAAGTGCCCCCTGCCTTCGCACATGTGCGCCAGGGTGCGAGCACCCCGGAGCACCCCCTACCCATGCACAGAAGACTGAGCAACAGGATCCAGTATATCACAGGATCCACTGGATCCCAACACATCTGCCAAGACTGACACCAGTTGACTCCCGGAGGGATGGGAAGTCCTCTGGCATTGTCCTTTGGCACCCCAGAAGGCTGCAGCAGAAGGGAGAGGTGACGAATCCTAGGTTAGGAGAGGTGGAAAAGACCCTGTGGTTGACGTCTAGGCCCCTGCCAAGGCAGGAAATCCACACCTAAAATATCCCTGACAGGTGGCCATCTAACCTCTGCTTAAAAATCTCCAGCAATGGAGAGTCTACTGCTCTCTGAAGCAGCCCGTTCTATTGTTGAATAGCTCTCATGGTTAGGAAGTTCTTTCTAATAGTTAGTCAAAATCTCCCTTCTTGTAACCCAGACCCATTGCTTCTGGCCCTACCCTCTTGAGCTGAAAAACACAAGCCTGCTCCATCTTCCATGTGACAGCCCTGCAAATATTTGCAGACGGCGATCTTCAAGTTGTGACGGCACAGCCCTGGATTTGGAAGCAGCGCCACCATAGCCCTTAAGTAGGTGGCTAGATTTTTGCTACTGGAAAGTGACTCTTTGCTCCCCCTCATGCACCCTTCTCCCACCTCTCACCTCTCGGTCATTTATATGGACACTCAGAGAAGATAGACATGGCTCAAGGATCTTATGCCAGGGCACTGCATCCTTCTGGGAGCAATCCAAACACTTGTTCAGGATCCTAAACAGAAGAGGAAAAAAGACTTGTTAAAAAGATAGGGATCCGCTTATCTATGCATTTCCATTTCACTCTTTTTCTCATTTTTCTGACTAGACATCTTTTCAGCCTATTTATGCAACAATTTATGGATTTGGGCCCACCCCCCAGAAATCTGTACATATCTCCCAAGGTAAACATTTTTGTACACATTTCTCTTCATTTGCACACATTGTGTAAGGAAATGTTTCCTAAACAAATGCATTGTTTTGCACATCTGCTGCAATGTATGCATTTTTGCTGTGCCTTTTTCTTCAACTTACAGATACCGACATGCATTTGCTAAGGTGCAAATCATAGTTTTAAAATTCTGAGAAGTGCAGGTTTCAGCATATCAGCGCATTCTAGCTTGCACAGAGCCTTGGAATGACAAACTGGATGCATTCACATAAAGACATAGATCTGCAGTTCCAAGATGATGATGATGCATTTATTTTTTTACTCCTACTCTTGTAAACCGCACTATGAGTGGAGGCAAGGCAGCTTTTCATAAATGCTATGCCTCACAACACATTTGACCCTGATTGACAAAACGTGGGATTTTAAGAATAGCCATGGCAATTTTTATTGATTTATTAGATATTTGTATTCATTGTGAAAGATTGCCTGATGCCTTGGAAAGAATACAGAATCTACAACATTTCTAATTTTGTACATAAGGATATGTATCCCTAGGTCACCTTTCAGAGTTTCTCCTCTAAGTATTCAAAAGAAATTAGACGAATGGTTAAAACACAGAGAGGGTTTACACCACATTTATGGAATTTCCTTTCTTAGAAGGGTAGGTTCCTACATTGTTATCTTTTGGGAACAGGCAATAACTATTCTTTTTTCCACGACAATTTAGATTTTACTGCGATTTTATTTATCTGTGTTCTTGTTTTCATATTGCACTGCATGGTATTATATTTATGTTGTGGCATGATTTTTCTTTTCTTTTTTTAGCCTCTTGCAACACACCTGAAGGTCTTTTTGTACTGGTTGGATTAAAAACATACTAAATAAATCAGTAATAGATAAAACTGGAGAATAGCTAATTCATTCAGACAACCCCATTATTTCATCATCAATTATGCAGGTAAAAGATTCTGGAGTTGATTCCATTTGTTTTGGAAGCCGTTACTATGAACTCACAACATGCATTCCAAAGGAGATCTCAATGTGAGTGAAACTGGCCATCCTAAGATTAACCTGTACCAGAAGGATGGGAAGAAAAAAGCATGGAGAAAGCTTTGGAATGGCTCCTGAGCCAAAGCACATCACATTATCTGTAAAACACAGTGGTGGCAATGTGATGGGCTGGGCATGCATGGCTTCCGTTACTATGAACTCACAACATGCATTCCAAAGGAGATCTCAATGTGAGTGAAACTGGCCATCCTAAGATTAACCTGTACCAGAAGGATGGGAAGAAAAAAGCATGGAGAAAGCTTTGGAATGGCTCCTGAGCCAAAGCACATCACATTATCTGTAAAACACAGTGGTGGCAATGTGATGGCATGGGCATGCATGGCTTCTGATGGCACTGGGTCACGAAGACAAAAGCAACCGAATGAATTCTGAAGTGTATAGGGACATATGGTCTGCTCAGATTCAGCCAAATTCAGTGAAGCTGATTGGACAAGCACTTCACTTTACCGATGGACAATGACCCAAAACATACTGCAAAAGCAACCGAGGAGTTTTTAAAGGCAAAGAAGAGGAATTTTCTGCAACAATTGAATCAATCACCTGATCTCAACCCAATCAAGCATGCATTTCACTTGCAGAAGACAAAACTTAAGGCAGAAAGAACCACAAACCAACAACTGAAGACAGCCTGAAGTAAAGGCCCTGGCAAAGCATCACAAAGGAAGAAAACCAGCGTTTGTTGATGCCCATACTTTAAGCAGTCATCGCCTGCAAGGGATTCTTGGCAAGGTACTAAAAATGAACATTTTATTTATGTTTGAGTTACTCTGTCCAATTACATTTGAGCCCCTGAAATAAGGGGATTACGTATGAAAATGGTTGCAATTCCTAATGTTTCATTACGATATTTTTGTTATAACCCTTGAATTAAAGATGAAAGTCTGCACTTCAATTGCATCTCAGTTGTTTCATTTCAGATCCATTGCGGTAGCATAAAGAGACAGAATTATGAACATTGTGTAAGTGTCCAATTACTTCTGGACTTAACTGTATGTTGCTCAGCACCATCAAATGGCAGCAACAGACTAGGGCTTGGGGCGGGATTATAAAAACTCCCTCCATCATCCCTGACCACAAGCGCACACCCTGGATCTAATGGGAATTAGTTTCTAACAGCATTTTGAAGGCTGCAGGTTGCCTTCCCCTGCTGTAGCAATTCCCAGCTCTGCTCTGAAAGGTGCTTTTTACTGGAAGCCAGCCAAGAGCTGGCCTTTGGACCTCAGGAATGCAAAGAAAGATGCTCTCCCGCCTGACCTTAATGCTCCCAGCTGGAACTCCTTCTCCGATCCTTGCTGGGCCAAGTCTTTGAGTAGAAGCACATCCACCAAAAACTTGTAACCCTCTCCATCCAGACAGGGGTCCATGCAATGGAGGCAGCTTTCCAGTGCCCTCACCATCTCCTTGCAAATGCCACTCCTGCGCAGGTCGCTCAGCAATTTGGTTGCATTTATGTCCTTCAGATTCATAGAAGCACGAGAGTCTGGTTGAGAAATAAAAGTATTCCAGAGGGTTATCCTGGCAACTTTGCTCGTGCCCTTATGTTTTGAGAAATTTCATTCACTACTGGGACCAACCTTGTTAACAACACCCCCAAGGCAGCAGTGATTGGAGTTTAGAAAATGCATTTTTGGACTACAATCCCCAGAATCCTCCAGTCAGCATGCTTCTGTACAGTAGGACCCCTGTATCCATGGGAAATCAGTTCCAAGCTACCCCTTGCGGAGGCTGGACATGGGAAATCAGTTCCAAGCTACCCCTTGAGGAGGCTGGAAAACACTATGCATAGCATGGTGTCTGGCTCCCTCTAGTTGCCAGTTCTGGTAACTCCACCTTCAAAAATATATATTTCTAGAATTTTAATTTTAATATTTTCAGACCATGGAGAAGTAAATCAGTGGATACTGATCCCACCAATATAGGGGTCCTACTGCATTTTTAAAAAGTCAACTTTCCAGACTCTGGCCATGTTACTTGCCCTTGCCAATGATGAACAATGACTATGAAATGTACCATCCTTATAAGATGAAGTGAGACCCTGGTTGGGCTCAGTTCTCATGCCATGATAAAGGTAAAGGTTCCCCTTGTCCAGTTGTCTTCGACTCTAGGGGGCGGTGCTGATCCCCGTTTCCAAGCTGTAGAGCCAGCGTTTGTCCGAAGACAATCTTCTGTGGTCACATGGCCAGTGCGACTTAGACACGGAACACTGTTACCTTCCCACCAAGGTGGTCCCTATTTATCTACTCGCATTAGCATGCTTTCGAACCGCTAGGTTGGCGGGAGCTGGGACAAGCAACGGGCGCTCACTCCGTCATGTGGATTTGATCTTACAGCTGCAGGTCTATAGACCTTACAGCCTCTGCTGTTTAACCCCCAGCACCACTGCGTCCCGCAGCGCCACCACATCCTCATGCTATGAGGAACAACAATTCAGGCAGAACAGATTTCCCCAATTAAAACTCTCAACGTAACTGTTCTGTTGGGACCCTGGGCTCAGGAAGGCTAAGTTTACACTAATAAAAAAAGAGATCAGGTTCCAACTGGCATGCGGGCCATTTCATACCTGCACCCTCTTGGTTTCGGGGCGGCTTCTGTTCAGTTAGATGTCTGAGTGCTATCTGAGCCAGCATCTCGTGGGAGGCATGTTCTGAATGGCAGCAGCTCTGAAGGAGGGAGTGGAGGCCACCGGGCCCCAGCTGCTCCACCAGGCCCTGGTGGTGCTCCATCAGCTTGTTCAGGACCAGGAGCCCGTTCTGCACCCCCGAAGAGGCCCTGCAGGAGGAGAAAGAGGGAGACAACTTCATCTTTGCCAGCACTTGCTGTGTTCCACAAGTGGCTGGGGATTAAGGGCAGAGGTGCAGGAGATACAAAAACCAAAACAAAGGCTCAGGGGGCATCTCCCAGGCCCAGCAAGGTCAGCAATTCAAGCTGCAGCAAAACCAGGAGCCCATCTGTTCACATTCTGCATTTTGAATCCTTGCATTAGAAAGTCAAAAGGAACAGCAGGACTCAGGTCATCAGCTACTCCCCCGGTCTGGGGTCTGTTTAGCCTCCTTTGGTTCATACTTGTTTGCCTCTGCCATATTTTCCCTGGAACTTACCCAGGTGTGTTCATCATCTTCTGAAGAGCAGCAGGTATGGCACTGAGCAAATTTTCAGATGCAGAACCAATGCTGGTCAAGATCTTTTCCATCACCTGGGCACCGGAGCGATCCAGGGGGTAGTGCTTTCTACAGTTTCCTGATAGTTCACAGTTCCCAGCTCCTAGCAGTATCTTTAACACCTAAAAGTCAAAGACACTAAGTCATTAGGTTGGCAAGGAAATGGGGGAAAAAACACCACAAGCTAAAAGCACAAAGTCTATTCAAAGTCTCCCCACTTCATTCGATTAAAAAAAGCATCCGCTCTCCATTTTATCCCTGCAAATGTATCCAGTTGGTGGCTACCAAGCAGAAACACCATATTTTCAGAAGCGGCCTTGTATCTGCGGATCCCTTCTCCTGCCTGATCATTGTCCCCAGCTTCCTCTTTGCATATTTTTAACAGGCTCGGATGATTCATTTATCTTCTTCCACTTTTCCCTCCTTATTCTCAGGCTAGCCAGGCCTGCTGTTCTTTGCATGGTCATTTATTTTGTTGCACTATTTTAAAATTGTTCATAGTAACATCACTCCTGAGGTTCATAGTAACGTTACTCTGATTACAGAAATTTCAAATGCCTTCCTTTTTTAACTGCACAAGAGGCCCCTCTCTTAACAGAAAGCAAGTCCCCTTCCTCTGGCAAGGCCTACCTTCTCTTCTCCGGCTCTCAGTGCAACCCACCCCTAGCTCCCTTCTCTCACAGGCCCCTCTGCCCCAGCTGCGCCAGTTCTTGTGCTCAACTTACAGCCAAGCCAGCCTGCTGCACAGAGGCGGACATGGGGTGCTGCTGCATGCAACTCAGCACAGAGTGCAGCCCACCTTTGGTGGCAAAGAATACCCGCCAGTCGTGTTTTGCCAGGAGTGCATACAGCAGCTGCAGGGCCAGGACCATGAGCAGGTTTTCCTTCAGTCGGTGGTTCAACAACTCCACCAGCATCTCCACCATGTTCTCCCTGTGGAAAGCAAAGGAAGGAGTCACCACATGAGGTTTTGAGGCGGCTGGGGACCAAGCCCTAGACTGTCTATCAAGTGGGGCAAATACTTCCCAAGAGCAAACAGAAAGCAACTTGTAAAGCATTCCCTAAAGATCTAGGCCAGCAATTCCCCAATTTAAGGCCCCAGAAGGTCTTGAACTGCAACTCTTAAGAGGCCCTGACCACTGGGCATGCTAGCTATAGCTTCTAGGAGATGTAGTCTAAGAAATCAGGGCCCTGAATCTGGGAATCCATGATCAACAATGGGCAACATTTGGCTCTCCAGATGTTTTGTATTGCAACTCTCCAAAATCTCTTATCAATGCACGCCAGCTGACACTTCTGGCAACTGAAATCCAAAATATTAGGGGCACCAAAGGTTCCCCACCACAGATCTGGATGGCTCAGTGGTTTAAGTATCTGACCACCTGGATAGCTCAGTGGTTTGAGTATCTGACCACAGAGCTAGAGGTTGCGAGTTCGATTTCCCACTATGCTGCCTTGAGAATGGCTGGACTCGCTCATCCATAGGGTCCCTTACAGCGCTGCAGTTCTAAGATTATGATTAAGATTATCTACAGCAACTTTCCCCAAGCGTGTGCTCTGCAGATGTCTTCAATTCTTGTTTCTTTTTCCACAATGAAGAGCAATGCACCTTCTCACAGGATGATCAACATCCCTTTTGAAAAGGCCATAGCTGAGCGGCAGGAGATATATTTGGCATGAAAAAGACATTGGGTTCAAGATCTGGTACTTCAAAGTAAGGCTGGGGAAAAATCCTGGTCTGAACCTTGGGACAGTCCAGTGCAGAAATTAACAGACTCATGGCGCCTATATAGAGCTTGAGCTGGCTGAATAGCTCAGTGAGTTAGTTATCTGGCTGTAGAACCATAGGTTGGGAGTTCAGTTCCCCACTGTGCCTCCTGTGAGTACAACCAGCCTGTGTGGCCTTGGACAAGCTGCACAGTCCCAAAATGCTCCCAGAAGAAGGGAATGGTAAACCACTCTAACCACAGTTATTTTCTAACTGTAATGGTAAACCACTCTAACCACAGTTATTCTCTAACTGTAAAACCCTGGAGAAGCTTGCCATAAATCAGAACTGACTTAACAGTACACAATTATTATAACAAGCTTGGAAGTAACTAGCTAAAAATAACCAATTACTCTTAATTATTTTTTTTTCAGTAACCAAGGCACAGCTAAGTCACATTATGACTATGATATAACGCCAATTTCACTAATTTTGCTGTCCACCTGTTATCTTCTTGACAGGTCTTATAAAATTTGTGTTATGACCACAACATTCAGCATTTTGGCCATCAGAAAACAAATCAGAAAACAGAGCAAAGCCCCGGGCCTGGAAATCTAACATTTTGTGACCGAATGCCAGAATCTGCCACCAAGAGCCAGAAAATGTAACTGTCCAAGGTGATGTTAACTATGTTTTTGTTATTTTTATAGTCATAGGGGAAGGCAGCTTCTGGTTTGCAGTAGTTTTGTTCCAGAAGGTTAGTGCCCTGTCACATTCTGCTAACAGTTTTTAGAAGTAACAATTTCAGTTACTTGATTAATGAGAAAATAGTTACTTTTGAAACACTGCAACTGTAAGAGGAATGAACTTCTTGGGAAGCACACTCATGAGAATAAACTGCTGGACAGCTCAGTGGTTAAGGTACCTGGCTGCAGAACCAGTGATTGCCCACTGCTCTGCCTTGATTGGAGCTGGACTCAATGATCCATAGGATCCCTTTCCAGCTCTGCAGTTCTAAGAGAATGATGATAAATTGCAAGCAACTTTCCAAGCTTGGACCCTATGCTTTTGCTTAGCACAAGTTACCATGAGGAGAACTGACCTAATGGCAAGTTCCTCCACTGCTTTGACAGCCAATCTCTCTTGCTCGTGATCCTTTTCCAAGATCCTGGTGATGAATCTGAGACCAGCCATCTGCAGCTCAATGTCGCTGTAGGATTTCTGGATCATCTCCATGGCATCTGCCAGTTGCTCCAAGGTGCTTTTCTTCCCAGCCACTTTCACGCTGCAGAAAGCTGATCAACAGAACTGTCAGTACAATGGCCTTTCAAGTCACAGGTGCATCCCTGCATCCTCTCAGTTGCTTGCTCTTCCCCCAGCTATCGCCCCCCCCCGGACATCCCTCGGGCCTCAAGCAGTTTTTCCACAGCAGTCTTTTCCACAGCAGGGAGTCCAAGAACCTACACAGACAGCATCAAACCAGCACTCACTTTGTGGCTTTTAATATGAAACCAGCTTTGCAATTCAAAGACTGCATTTTAAAAATATTAATGTTTTAATGAACATTAAAATTTAAAAATATGCTTATTTAAAAAAATAACACAATACAGGCCTCTACAACCATGTTGGCAACAGTACCACTGATGGGAAAGGGGGTGTCAAATGGATCTCTTAATTCTGTTCTTCTATTACATACCTGCCCTTGCCTTTAATTATGCTAGTTCCACTCCTCTTTCCACTGATCCTGGGAGGAAATGTTTGCACTAATCCTCCAGTAGTGAACAGGTATTTTTATTTTTCCACCATGCAAGGAATATGGACATCCACACAGATCTTCTGTTTTATAGTCACAGAACTTTCCCCTGCAGCACTGAGAGCCACCCACTGACTCCTGGAATGGCGTCACTAAAAATACCACGGATGCATCATCTACTATGGAAACACTTTTTGCCCACTGGGTAACAGATGTACACTTCAGATAAATGGCCAAGCTAGAACTTGAGGGGAAACTCTGTGAAAGAACAGATGGCTACCTAACTCCCTCTGCTTCTCCAGAAACCCAGTAAAAGTTACACTGCAGTGTGACAACGCAGCATGCTGTATTTTTGGCCAGCCAGCAACCGATGACATGGAGCTGGGGGGACAAAACCCAGTGCTTAAGAACAGGGTGAGTGAAGATCAATGATTCTTTTAAAAAAATAAAATTAATTTGAATCATGATTTAAATTTTAAAAATGATATTTTGAATTTAAATGGTCAAAAATCAAATTTTCTAAAATTTAAATCAATTGGATTTACCCACATCCACCTTGCTTAAGAAAGTTATTTATATGGACTACAATCCCTGGAATTTCGGTTTTCTTAAATCCCCAAAGTATTTTCTTTTAGTTCTGGAAGAGAAGTAACCTTGTATAACGTCGCAACACAAGATGCAAATGTTGCAGAAAAGCAGTGGGAGGTAAGGAGTTAAGACATGTTTTTTTCCATTTTTGATGGCTTTTGTCAATACTTCTCATTTGCTCCAAAGACAAAACAAGATAGGTCACAGAAGCGTTTATCCCTTACCTTTGGCTTTCTCATCCAATGTGGTTGGGAAGGAAAGTCCTTCCAACCTGAGGAGCTCATGAACTAGTTGCATGTCAGTCTTTTCTCTTAGTGATGGAGAGGGTCCTTCAGCAGACAGTGACCTCTTCTCTGGTTTCTGGGATACCATGACATTCAAAAGGCCATCACGTTTTTCAGGCATCATGTCCGACTTCTGGATGTTCTGCTCCATCCGTCCTTTGCTGAAGGAATACTTGAGATAGACATGAGAACTCTGCAGGTCCCGTTGCATGCAGTCCTGGCCATGCTTGCTCAGGAGCTGTAGCACCTGTTGAGCCAGCTCTACTGACACAGACATCTGGATCAGGCCTTCTTCGTCAAGTTCTGAGAGCTTGAAATGCAAAGCACAGAGACTGCACTGTAGCCTAAACTTGAAGTACCACGCACAACCAAAACAAAGACCGCAAAAAACTAAAGGAATGCTCTGCGGTCCGTATGTGTCCATTGATGTAACAGAAGCTGGAAATGTTACTTGTTTGGATTGTAACTTTCAGAATCTACCAGCCAGTGTGGTCAGTGGGACATAAAATAAAACTGGGGATTAAGAGCCTGTTCAGCTGCACTGAATGAACTTCACTAGTCCCTCGTCCATTTCAAGCCTTGTTCAAACTCTGGATATTTTTCCTTTGAAGCCCCTTGTGAGTTGGAATCTAGTTAACCATTGGACCCTTCTTACCTCTGTCACTCTACTCGTGACTGCTGGGTAGCTCACTGGTTTAGGTGTCTGGCTATGGAGCCAGAGGCTGGGAGTTCAATTCCTCACTCTGCCTCCCTGACAGGGGTTGGATTCGATGATCTATAGGGTCCCTTCCAACTCAGCAGTTTTAAGATGATGATGATTTAACACTCTTATCTGAGTCCCTCCTCCCCTGCCCCCCTCCCGCTTCCCTGTCTTCCTGCAGTAAAGTTAGTGGCAACTAAGAAGAAATCATTTGCAAATCTGGTGCTCTGCTTCCCAAAGGCCTTCAGCAGAGAGAGATAAAAATCTTCCTAGCTTCAGAAATGTTTGAAAGCTTTTTAACCCATATAGTAAGTGTTTATTTTTTGGTGGGTGGCAAGGAGGAAGCAATTCAATTCACTGCTAAGCCACCTGTGGTCACTGCAGTGGGAGAAAGGTGGCAAGGACAAAGGAATAAACAAATAAGTCCATCTTCTCCAGGAGCTCCCAGCACCACATCCACCCATTTCCCTTAAGTCACCCGATCCTTTGAAGCAGATTTTAGAAGAGCACAGGAAAAGCAGATGGAATGAAAATTACTTCCCTCCAAGTAGCAAGAGTAACCTGCGAAAGGGGTTGCATTCATGGGGGGTCTTAAGATCTAGGGTTATGCTTTTGCTTTTTGTTAACTTCAAGGTCTGACAGGACTGTCTTTGGATAAGATTTTATGCATTTGATGAAGCGGAGCAGGAAAGCTTGATGTAAGGAGTAGGGAACCTGCGGCTTTCCAGATGTTTTGGCTACAGCTGCCATCAGCTCCCAACCAGTGTGGCCAGTGATCAAGGATTATGAAAATCTGTAATCCAAAACCTCTGGAAGACCAAACGCTCATTGCCTATGTATGGCCATTATTTTAAGGTGCCATGAAATTCTTTGTCGGTTTGGTTACAACACACAAAACGCAGAGCTTCTTAATTCTGGACATTGACAGAACTTTAGTGTCAATATCCTCTAAAACTGTAGGACAGAAATGGCATGCGGAGACTGTTAGATCTGGAAGACACCAGGTTGAGGGAAGATGAACTAACTTACTCCTTGGACTGCAAAAGGAATAGATTACTTCAGTAGATTCTCTAATTGGAATCTATTGGGTTACCTGGAAACACTACACTTTTACTCTGTTTTTTTAAGTTTGAAGATAAATCCAGCCAAAGTAGAGATTGGGAGGGGAGTGAAGTGGAGAAAAGGGACTCTCTGTGCCCCAGGATATTCCTGGCCTACAAGAGAGAGTCAGAATAGGCACCTTTCTGCTCTGCCTTACATCCGCCTTTACCTTCTGGTTCTGCTGGATGAACTCAAGGAGCTCCTGCTGTTTATGGAGCTCCAGCTTCTTGATGAAGAACAGAAGCTCCCACCACTCAGCCCGGCTCAGTGTTCCAGAGTTCCCATTATTCTGCTGATCTGTCAGATAGGGCAGGGAATACAGCCCCCTGAGGGGTTGGCAGTAGGTTACCTGCGAAACTGCCAGGAAACAGAAAAACACAGCATGTAGTTTTATGGCATCTCACAAGGCATGCTGTTTAGCATTGCTGCCATCAAAACAGAAATATCCAGGAAAATGATTACATACCACTTTCTTTGTAAGGGTTTCCTATACAGTATTTGCAGTATGTGAGCCAGGTGGGCTGGCCTTGCCTTTTCCGTCCTAGTAATGGGATGTTTAATTTGAGCCATAATGGCTTATCCTCAAGAGGTGAGAGGGGCTTTTGGAACCCAAAATTTTAATAAATTCAGAGCCAATAAAATCATTCTTGCCATTAATACCTCCTGAAAAAACCTCAAAATATTAAAGACTTGTGCCCGAATGTTCCTGTTCTCCTTTTCGCTTCCTATCCCCTTTTTCTTTTGCACTGTATCTTTTTTTAGATTATAAATTTGAGGGCAAAAATGTCTTGTCTTTTACCTTTAGACTCTCAATACATGACTTGCTCTATTAAAGCCTTTCCAGCTATACAGTAGGGTTAAAGGCAATCAATCAATGAATCTCTGATCAGGGCGGATTTTATTTATATCAAACTGATAAAAATCACAATTTAAAGTTTAAAAATTGGATTTTTTAATGATTCAAGTAAAAAATCTTTATTATTTAAATCAATTAATATTTTTTTAAAATCATTGATTTCTATCCACTCTGTCCCTGATACTATTATGATTCCAGATCATTTATTGTACCCTGAAATTATGTACTGTGGCTCAGGCCCACAAAATACATAACCACCACATCAGTCATAAAGAGTTCATTCTCTCCAAGTTAAATACATTCATATACATTCACCACCTCACGGCTCTTTCTGCATTTGCTATTTGTATGGCTCAGCCTCTAGTAAGAATCTAAATGTCTTCTGATGAACTGTGGAAGAAGCTTTGTTGGAAGTCCAAAGGTTATTAAAAATCCCATTTCCTTTCTGCTTTTAAAAACACATTGCCCTTGTATTTCCATTTGCTTAAAACAAGACCCAAGCATCTCAGGCTGAGGACCTTCTCATTCACCTCCTATCTACACATTTCAGAGTTTGGAAGTCACCTCGAGAAAATCTCAGCACTGAAGGCCAGTTTTGGGAGAAGGACAGGATTGCATAAGCCTGTCTCAAATCATGATGTTTAGTTGCAACATCTTCCTCTTTCAGGTAACAAGAGAGTATCAGAGAACAATTTAACACCTGCTAATGCTGTCTAGGTTTCATTGCGGCATTAAAGGTAAAGGTTCCCCTTGACAATTTTTGTCCAGTCGAGGTTCCGTTTCACTGCGGCATTAAAGGTAAAGGTAAAGGTTCCCCTTGACAATTTTTGTCCAGTCGTGTTCCACTCTAGGGGGCGGTGCTCATCCCCGTTTCCAAGCCATAGAGCCAGCGTTTGTCCGAAGACAATCTTCCATGGTCACATGACCAGTGCGACTTAGACACGGAACGCTGTTACCTTCCCCCCGAAGTGGTCCCTATTTATCTACTTGCATTTGCATGCTTTCAAACCGCTAGGTTGGCAGGAGCTGGGACAAGCGACAGGCGCTCACTCCGTTGTGTGGATTCGATCTTACGGCTGCTTGGTCTTCTGACCCTGCAGCACAGGCTTCTGCAGTTTAGCCCGCAGCGCCACCACGTCCCTTTTTCACTGCGGCATAACAAGTAATATTTACTCATTATGTCAACATGCTATAGGCAATGATCAATTGGGAAAAGAATTCAGTAATTCTGGGGGATATTTTAAATGATTAAAAACAATTAAAAGTAGCATGTTATTCATGAGCAATGTCACTGAAGAATAATATTTACAGAAATTTTTAAAAAGTCAATATGTTAGCCCTTAATATATGTTAAGCTCTGGACCTTTTTAATTTATGATGCTTGGGACTGAATGTGTGACCTTCTGCGTAGAAAACATGTACTCCTCCTCTGAGTTATGCTCTCTCCTAAGTACAGAAAACTAGGAAAAGAGATCCGTTTGACAGCCAAACCTAGCTGTTCAAAGAAAGATGAAGCAAGCTGAAATCATCCTGGAGGCAAGGAGTGAGCAGCAGGAATGAAGCCCAGAGACAAAGGATGGCATGATTAGGACTTACCTGATCCCTCCTCCCCCCCACCTACCCGCAGGTTGATATAACAAGCATCTAACATCTCAGCACTGCCTTACCTATGTCCTGTCTCTGAGTCTCTGTAAGGCTGAATAATTTTTCCTGGGCTTTCTGATATGCATGCCGTGATGTACCAACAATTTCTATCATGTCCCAGTGGACCCAGTACATGCGGCCCAGTGACTCCCAGTAAACCTGGAAAAATAGAGCGTCAACATCAAATATTACTCAGCTCACTTTTCTCTAAGCAAGGACAGGAGGGTCTAGGTTACAACACCTTGTATACCTGGTGTTTACCACCCAAATGCTACTGGCTTCAACTCCTAGCCATCCTCATCGTTGGCGGAAGCCAATGGAAGATGCAGCCCAACAACCTCTGGAGGGCCACACTTTGGACAGTCTTGTCCTATACGAGCAGTGAGCAGGCAGATCAAAACCCTTCTCTTGAAAGAGGAGAGGTTCTCACAAACATACCACTGATGGCAAGGCAGGTTGATCCAAGAGCTTTGGAAACGCATTGGGAATCCTCCAAAATAAAGGTCCTCTAGAACTCCCTGGTGCCCCAGCCCTGCCCCACACCCAGCAGTACCTGGACAGGGGGGGTGCCGTCATTGCTCTGCAGGAATTCGCCTTCATCTCCCGCAGAGACCTTCTCGTAGTCTTGCAACATGCGCACCCGCATGCCGCGCACCACCTTCTCCTGGACATACTCCACGTAGCTGCTGCGACTGGAGAAGGCTGAACGTTGTTTGAAAGTACTGCTCTCTTCCTGGGGTGGCTGTGCAGCTCGTGGGATGGGGTCACAGAGGGTAATCGGGGGCTGGAAAATAGACTGAACAGCTCGAGGCTGCCTCACTTTGAGCAACGGATAGTCTTGATTGCCATTCCAGCCCATAATTTGCACCAGCTCTGAAAAGAAGTGAGCCAGGGCCATATTGAAGTCAAACTCACATTGCAGCTTTGTCTTTCCCCCAGAGTTTGCACGGGGGGAGCTAGAAGGCTGGCACTCCCTGCCTGGCTCTCCAGTGGCATTGAGTTCGTCCATAAGAGAGGTGGCCCAGAGGTAGCGCTTCACCAGAGAAAACAGCTGCTTCCCGGGGATCTGAAATAGAAAATATAAGTAATACAAGTATTAATACAAGTAATTTTTGTGTGCATTTTGAAGTTGAAGCAGTTCAGCACAACATTTGGAAAAGCTGCACAGGCTGGAGATTTTGTGCAACTGCATGTCTGCTTCTGCAATCTAGTCCAGGGCATCTGAATCAGCTAAGTTTCTGTGAAGAAGAGCAAGCTAGTAAGCCGTCCTCAACCAGGAGTGTGCATGAGGAAGCATGTGGGTGTGCAGAGGGCATGCTCATAGAGATAAGAGAGGAAGAACCAAGGGGAAGAAAGGCAGTAGAAGCATGTCTGTCAGAAGACAAGGAGGAGGGAGAAGGGGAGGAGTAAGATCTGATAGTGTGGGAGGAGGTGATAAAAGAGTGGGGTGATACACGGGAATTTAGAATTGAAACGGATCAGACAAAGAAGAGTACTAAAGATTGTGCGGTGCAAACAGGAAAAGGAAGAAGAAATGTCGGATAAGATCTGTGACTTGTTGAAAGACTTCCCAAATTTAAAGACAGGAGGAGGATTGCTGCCAGATCCCGATTTACCTAAAGTGGAGAAAAAGAGGGTGAAGCCTTCCAGAATGGACAGTGATTTACCTAAAGTGGAGAAAAAGAGGGTGACGCCTTCCAGAATGGGCAGTGGTGGTTTACCCCTGCAACCAAGGTGGAGGGAAGAAGGTGATTCACCCCAGTCCCTCCTTCAATGTCTCACCTCTGGAAGGGGACTGGGCGAGACACCCTTGCTGTGGGACAGCGTGCACAGTAAGGAGCGCCCCTTTGAGGGAGATGACCGATCACAATAGTGGAGAAAAAGAGGGTGACGCCTTCCAGAATGGGCAGTGGTGGTTTACCCCTGCAACCAAGGTGGAGGGAAGAAGGTGATTCACCCCAGTCCCTCCTTCAATGTCTCACCTCTGGAAGGGGACTGGGCGAGACACCCTTGCTGTGGGACAGCGTGCACAGTAAGGAGCGCCCCTTTGAGGGAGATGACCGATCACGAGCGCTTTGGTCCATCCCCAATGTGAGAAGTGACCTACCTATGCTGGGAACCAAAATTCTAAGTTACAAGGAGTTACCAGAACTGAGTTGTTTCAATCCGTTTGATTTAGTTAATCAGGATGTTGAAGTTAATAAAAAGGAACCTGTTGAATTTTTGAAATCGCCTCCGTCTCTTATTCCCGCCCAAATGAGGGGACTGTCACCAGCTCATGAAGAACCCAATCACAGTTTAAGATGTGATCTTAACAATCCTCATGATCATCCCTGGTTAGTACCTGAGGAAGAGGGAGCCCTTCAAAGGACATGGCGTGCTCTTCTGAGGATGTTGTTTCAGCAAACAGCTCAAGGAGGGTATAGCGACTATCGAAGTCCATGTGCTGTTCAATGTCCTCCTGCTGGCTCAGGGATAGGAGAACATAGGCTCGGCTACCTAAAATGAAAGGCATTCATATAGTACTTTCACTGCATTCATTCTATAACTTCTTATCACTTTTAGGACTCCAGTTCCACAACTGGATGGGAGGCAAGTCTCTACATTCACACTCACAACTCAGACACACTCTCATACACATACACTCACACACACACGGAACACAGGAAGGCCTGGAGGGCCAGGATTATCACATGAGGCAATCAAGGGGAGCATCTTACAGAACTGGGCAGAAAGACTAACTTCTGCAGAGAAATTTCAAACAAACAAACATCAATCAATCCATCAATCAATTTAAAAACAAACAGCAGTTAATATGGTAACCGCACTAGATGCTGTAAAGAGGTTCAAACAGAATAATCAAGAGAAGCCCAGGTAGGGCAGGGCTCTACCACACAAAATTAAGATCCTGGTTAGTATGGGCCAGCACCTTAGTCAGACCTGGGCAAAGTGCGGCCCGAGGGCGACATATAGCCTGCGAGTCGCTCCTGTCTGGCCCACGGACAGTTTTGAACATCAAAGCCATTCATAGCTTTTTGTCTAAAGTTGATCAGTTGCTTATCTTTAACATACCACAAAAAACCTCTTTAGTATTTGTGAAGATTAACAAGTTTAAAATAAAAACAATCATAGCATCACTGTTTCATTTTATTTTTAATTAAAGTTGGTTCGGCCCCAACTTTACTTAGTCAGTGACTTCCGCCTTCCCGGAACCCAGTCGAGCCCGTTCTGTTCCACCTGCGGAGACTCATTCAGCTTGGACAGTCTGGGAAAGCAAGAAGACTGAATACTAGCACAGGCACCAGTTATCAATGACACTGAAATAGAAGCTCTTTATGAGGATGCTTCTGATCATCTGCCCAGTGAGCAGAGATAAGAGAAGTTACTTTTTTGGATGACAGCTTCTAGAATCCCAGGATACACTGAGAGTTGTAGCATAAAACAATAACCTTTCAGTAGCCAAAAATGTTGATGCAAGAGTCTCCCACATTTTCTCTTGGGTTGAAATGCAGTGTGCCCCCCATATCTATGGGGGATGGGTTCCAAGCCCCCTTGCATCCCCCCATGGATGCCAAAAAACACAGATTATAGCAAAGGTGAACACACTATACATAGCATTATCTCTGTCTCCCTCTGGCGGCCAGTTCTGGTAGCTTCACCTTTAGAAATACTGTATACATTTCTAGGATTTTTCTTTTAACACTTTAAAACCACGGACAATTTAATCAGTGGACATTGATTCTGGAGATATGGAGGTCCTACTGTATATTAAGCACCACCCAACACTGTCAATACAAAAACACAATAAGCAGGAACAGAAGTATGGAATTTGAATTCCTATACACCTTTAGGACAACAAATGTCATGATACGATAGCATAAAGATGACTCTTACCTGCATTGTGTGAAGCCAGAGCCCTCAGCATCTTGCCAGCACTACGGCAGATGATCTGCTCTTCATGACACAACATTTTCATCAGCAGATTGAGAGCACCTGTCTCCTTGAAGACATCCATCAAAGCCCCAATACTGGCATAAACGCTCAGCACATGGATGGTGTTCAGGATGGACGACTGAGGGACTGCATCTGCCAAGCAGCTCGCTCCACCAGGTTCCTGACATCCACCTTCATCTCCAAAATGGAAGCTTCATCCAAAGTGACATCAGGGGGGAGGCAGCTGGAGGCCTCCTCCACCCACTGCTCCTTGGGATCTCTCTTGCCTAACAGTACTGGACAGTTGGCATAAACATCATCTGCTGACATCCACATCAAGATGTTCTCCATTTTGCTCTCTGTCAAAGAGGTGCTGGGGCTCCTTCCTGTACCATTCTCTGAGCTGAGGATGTTCCAGCGAATCAAATATTCAGCATCTCCATTACGACCACGACGCTGTCGGATTATCTCCTCTGGATAGGCCTGATGTTTGGGTCCCAGATGCACTACCACCTTCCCATTCTGCTTCTCAAACACCATGACAGGGAGCACATCTGCTGAGACAGAGAGAAGCAGGTTATATCCTTGGGCCCACCCCTACTTAGAAACTGCAAAATGGCAGTGACCCTTATTTGACAAAGTACAGAAGCACTGCTTTGGGACATCTGTTGTATTTTAATTTGCTACAGGAAAAGATTCCCCAGGGAAACACACATTCATCAAGCTTAGTAAATGCCTGAAATCTGTGCTGCATTCATGTATCTTTCAATGTAACGCCTGGTTCTGCGATTTTTTTACACAGATTTTTCTACTTGTGATTTGACCATTTTAAAGCTTTGCCTTCTACCAAAATTCACTCTTTTAATGTAAAAAACATGAAAAATTTAGCAATCATGGAAATCATTGTATCTGGTTACTTAGTTTAAATGAACAAAAAGAAGGGCCCAAATCCTATCATCACTGTAGCTTAGTCGACTACTGATACGGTACTGGGGTGCATCCTGGTTGCCCAACTAGGCATGTGACCAGGCATATGACTGAGACATGTTGCAGTACCTAAACAATTGGTTGCAATTAGCAAATGAAGTCAAGGGAGATCGGGCTGAACTTCTTGATGAGTTCTTCTTATTCCAACCCATCTGTGGCGTTGCAGGAAAGATAAGAGTTCACAAAAAATTTATATGAAATACCTTTGGAACAAAAAAAACACAAAATATTATGGCATTATAAAGACGAACATAAATAAAATAAATAAAGACAAATAGATTTAAGTGTGAGCTTTAATGGGTGAACATTCACTTATTTAGACAGTGTGAACCACAAAAGATGGTGTGAAATAATATTTTCTTAAAAATGGCATCATTTGCTTCCTCCTCCCTTTCCCCCCTTTAATTCTGTCAACATGCAGAGACAGCCTAGAAAAATGAAATACACTCTATTCACAAAAGGCTCGTCCTCTTTATACCGGTACTAGAGGGGCAGAGCCTGGAATGTTAATTCCGAAAACCCACCCACTACAGTAAATTACACATTGCTTGGACTGGGTAACAAGTCATTATCCCCTACCCTTAGCGCAGCCTGGGAAAGCAAGGCCTTGTGCTGATCATAATGAATCTGCAAGCAATATCCCAATCACTGAAAAAGACGGGAATTTTCTTTTCCAGTTCCCCCAAAACTAAGCCTGCGCTCTCTAGAAGTAAACATTATGAAACCGAGGCTCTCTTGTCGTGGGCACACCGTGAGAAGGTGAGACTTGCTGGGAAAGGCCACAATGCTGGGGAAAAAGTTGAAAGCAGCAGGAAAAGAGGAAGGCCAAATCAGCGATGGACTGACTCGAGAAGGAAACCACGACTTCGAGTTTGCAACAAGGACAGGAAAGAGGGGAGCCGTTCAGCCCAGGAGGACACGCACCGGCAGCACGGCCGACTTCCCGAGCCTCAGCTGCCTGACAGAGTCCAGCCCATAATATGCAGGTGAAAAGGGCGGGGCCTTAGGGCGCCACCCAGGCACACGTGCGAGCAAGGGCGCTTTTCCCCGCGCAAGCAGGCAGGGAGGCAGGCGAGCGCCTCCGGGGGTCGTGGGCATCCGGCCTACCTCACTCGCTGCCCCCGAAACGTATAAAAAAGGCGCCGCAAGGCCCGTCGGCGACGGCGTCCCCGCTTTACCAGGAGAAAAGAGTGGCTGCCTCGCCTCTTCCGCATTTTGTGCGCATGCTTGTCCCGCCCCACTCCGGCACTACGGGTCGCTTCAGAGGGCAATATTCTAGTTTTCGCGATCGCTTTCGAAGGTGAGCTTGAAGGGAGCCTGTGGTCGTGGGCAGGCTGGCCCGGGCAGCGCTCTTTCCTCTAGGAAAGGCGAAAGTAAGGAAAATGCTCTCTTTCTCTCATTCTCATTCTCAGCTTTAGTTTATTATACATTCAGTCCTATAAAACTCTTTTTCTCCGTCTGCGAACATACATGCGTGCATGGACCCCGGTATAACTGCACCACCTCTCCCCCAGTCAAAATCAAATAAGAACGGGCAATGCCCTCTTAGTAAAAGCACCATTATGTCAGGAAATAGGGACTAGAAGTAATCATAGGGAGAGGATTTCTATGACATGTCACACTTTCTCTGCAACCTACATTTGAACTCAGAAGCAAGTTCAAACATGTTTATGAGTACAGTAATCTGGCCTTTCTCGCCATGAACATGTTTAAACTCACCCATAAAAATCAAACATAGGTTGCAGAAAAAAAATATGACATGTCATGGAAATCTGTTACATCACCGGATGGCAGCTGGGAGAGTGAAATTAAGGCAGGCCCCATTGTTTTCGTTTAGTCGTTTAGTCGTGTCCAACTCTTCATGACCCCATGGACCAGAGCACGCCAGGCCCTCCTATCTTCTACTGCCTCCCGGAGTTGTGTCAAATTCATGTTGGTTGCTTCGCAGACACTGTCCAGCCATCTCATCCTCAGTCGTCCCCTTCTCCTCTTGCCATCACAATTTCCCAAAATCAGGGTCTTTTCCAGGGAGTCTTTTCTTCTCATTAGATGGCCAAAGTACTGGAGCCTCAGCTTCAGGATCTGTCCTTCCAGTGAGCACTCAGGGTTGATTTCCTTTAGAACTGATAGGTTTGTTCTCCTTGCAATCCAGGGGATTCTCAAGAGTCTTCTCCAGCACCACAATTCAAAGGCATCAATTCTTCGGTGGTCTGCTTTCTTTATGGTCCAGCTCTCACTTCCATACATTACGACAGGAAAAACCATAGCTTTGACTATTCGGACTTTTGTTGGCAAGGTGATGTCTCTACTTTTTAAGATGCTGTCAAGATTTGTCATTGCTTTCCTCCCAAGAAGCAGGCGTCTTTTAATTTCGTGGCTGCTGTCTCCATCTGCAGTGATCATGGAGCCCAGGAAAATAAAATCTGTCACTGCCTCCATATCTTCCCCTTCTATTTCCCAGGAGGTGATGGGACCAGTGGCCATGATCTTAGTTTTTTTGATGTTGAGTTTCAGACCATTTTTTGCACTCTCCTCTTTCACCCTCATTAAAAAGTTCTTTAATTCCTCCTCACTTGCCCCATTGACACCCAAGTATTTGCCCAAAGATCCCTTGTTACTTTTTTTAAAAAAGGGAAAATGCAGTGTGGACTTTCAGATGCTACAGGATTCTTTTTCAAGCTGGGCGCTAAAGAGCTGGGAATGTTCTTTCTTCTTTACCCCCAGCTCTGTCATGCTCAGCCTGACAAAGCATTGCATGTCTTGAAAGCCTACTACTTCTTTGTGAGTTTTGAATGGTCAAATAAGGATATTGCATACACTTGCCTTTGGGTTCTGCCATGCAGGCATTCTTAATTCCTGATACTGGGGGAAGATTTAGAAGTCTCAAGACGCAAGTGAGCCTAAATGCCAGTTTCCTGACACAGAAATTGGCCCTCAATCCCAAATGAATGGAAATGGATTGTGATAAGTACAGTAATGTAATTCAAGTGGAGTCAGGAATAACTGTGGCAGGAATAGAAGAGGGTGGAGTATAAATTTAATGCCATTTAGCCTGCATTGTATCTGGAGATGTAATAGAGGAGGAAGTCTCCTCAGATGGAACTTAGTCAACACTACTGTACAACTGTGGGGAATCACCTCCAGGCTCCTGTGGGCCCCCAAAAACACAAGAGTTGCAAACTCTACACACAACATGGTCTCTGGCTCCCTCTAGTAGCTTGTCCTGGTAAATACACCACAGAAATAGGTACAGTACACTGTGTTTTTTTTTAATTTAACATTTTCATGCCAGTGGGAAAGTGAATTGCAGATGCTGATCCAGCGGATCGGGGAGTCCTACTGTATTAACCTACCAGCCTCATTTGAACATGTGTAAAGTTTCCATTACATTGAAAGATACCATTCAGACTACATGCCATTCCTTCACCAAACTTTCTATTTCTACTTTCTTTTGTGACATCTAGTCGAACAAAGAGAGCTGTGATTTGTTCATTGCCTTTTCACACTCGACTTGAAAAAGTAATATCCCAAAATGGATTCCAGAATTCATTTTATAGCTAATCTCTGCATTTGGGTCATGAACTGAGGTTGGCTGAGGCCTCAAGTGCATAATTAGTAAAGGTAAAGGTTCCCCTTGACATTTTCAGTCCAGTTGTGTCCAACTCTAGGGGGCGATGCTCATCCCATTTTTCAAGCTGTAGAGCCAGCGCTTGTCTGAAGACGGTTTGCCGTTGTCACGTGGCCAGCGTGACTAGGGAACGCTGTTTTACCTTCCCACCCAGATGGTACCTATTTATCTACTCGCATTTACGTGCTTTCGAACTGCTAGGTTGGCAGGAGCTGGGACAAAGCGACAGGAGCTCACTCCGTCGCGTGGATTCGATCTTACGACTGCTGGTCTTCTGACCCTGCAGCACAGGCTTCTGCGGTTTAGCTGGCAGCAGCACCACGTCCCCATCCTTATTTATGAAACATACATTTTTAAAACAAATGCTAAGTACGATGTATTTAGTATTTATTATTAAATTGCAGGGATGGGGACTGAAGTTGTTGGACTTGTCGCGAAGTCGGACTTAAGTTATACCAGTGACTCAACTTGGGGTAGTTTTTAAAAAAAATAGGGATGGGGACTGAAGTTGTTGGACTTGTTGCGAAGTCGGACTTAAGTTACACCAGTGATTCAACTTGGGGTAGTTTTTTAAAAAAATGACTTGATTCACAACTCAGAATCCACCCACCTCCTCTTTTTTTCTGCATGACTTGATTCACAACTCAGAATCCACCCATCTCCTTTTTTTTTTCCTGCAGAAAAAAAGTTTGTTTTTAATAGGGACTTGGTACCAAAGACTTGGACCCAAAGACTTGCAAACATCCCTGCTAAACAGATCCCAAGGGCTGTGTACAACAGTGCCCATCAGCCTGTGGAGGTCTGTTCACCAATCGAAAAAACAGTGGAATGGCATGTTCTCTCTAGCTCTCCACCATTGGGCAGATACTTATTGGGGGGGGGAGAGAATGCAAGAAGGAAGAGGGCATTCCATTGTACAAGATGAGTTTGTACTCATGGCATTTAGTGGGGCACATACTCAAAATACGAAGAATTTATTTTCTTTGTCAAATCAGATCTGTCGAGAGAGAAAGTGCAAGAGTCCACAACATGAAATTTTGCCCTTGTAAAATGCACAGGATAAGAAGTGAAAATCCATTTTTAATTCAGATTACTAATAGCTCCTTTTCTCTGTTTAAAGCAAGGAGAGTCCCTATGTGCTTGAAAAAATGGAAAGAATTAATTCCATAAGGCCACAGTAATTTAGACAGAATCTCAGAATACTAGAAATGTACAATCTCGACTTTCAGCTCTCCTGAAGCTACAATTAAACATGCCGATGGAGGTAAGTATTCAACAATACTGCAACTGTATATAAAATTATGGTGTGTTTGAGTATGTTGATTTAAATAGATTCCTCCTAATCCAACAGAATACTGAGCCACAGCTGTATTTACCCCTAATACCTCTGAAGGATACATCAGCACAAAAAATGCAGAAAAACCTGCGAGATTGAATGGTCACACTGTGGCGAGGAGCTAGGGTGGTCTGAATGCAAAATGGCTGCTTTTGGAGGCATCTAGGAGCAAAAAATGACAATTGTTTTGTTGATTTTCCCACCAGCAGCAGGGCCTGGAGAACCACAGATAAAGCCCATAAGTCATAGTTTACCTGCCCCTGCTATACCACTACAGTGGTGTCTCGTATTACGACGTTAATTCATTCCAGTAAACATCGTAATAGGAAAAGAAAAAACCCATTGAAACGCATTAAAACCTGTTTAATGCGTTCCAAAGGGATGTAAACTCACAGTCCAGCGAAGATCCTCCATAGGGCGGCCATTTTCGCTGCCTGTGCAGTGAGGAATCCGTCCCAGAAAACAGCGGGGGGCCATTTTGTTTACCTGGCAGCCACTTTGAAACCACCAATCAGCTGCTGGAAAATCATCGTTTTACGAAGAATCGGTTCCCGAAGCAGGGAACCGATCATCACAAAGTGAAATTCCCCCATAGGAAACATCATTTTGCGATCCCAAAAAGTTCATCGTAATGCGGTTTCATCGTTAAACGGGGCAATCGTAAAGCGAGGCACCACTGTACTATAATATAATCTTAAAACTGGAGACTTGGAAGGGATCAAAAAGTCCAGCTCTTGTTGAGGAGGAGGCACAGTGCGGAATCGAACCTCCAGCTCTACAGCCAAAGACCTCAACCACTGAACTCTCTAGGCGTTCGTATATGAAAAGGAGGTGTTTTTTTCCTGGAGGATTTAGTTCCCTCTATCAAGAATGCACATGGACAGTTGAGCAGCTGGAGAAGAAAATGTAGGCTTTATTGACCAAATCCTGCAGAACCAGGGACAGTTGAGGCCTAAACATCAAGCGCTTGCCGATGGCGGTGGGAGGTTTACATAGCTCTTCATGGGTGGGAGAGGTTTGATCTTACGCCCTGCATGCCCTCCTTTGCGGTGCCACCGACCGCTCCGGGGCCGATGTCCCAGCCACCGGTTCCGCCCAGCTTTCCCAAGTTTGCGCTTGTTGTGTTCCACATTGGAAACCCGTCCCACTGTAGCCACACACGTATCCAGGACCTGCAGGAGAGAAAAACAAAGTATATTAGGACGCAGCACATCTTTTCAAGTGACAACTTCGACAACCTGCTATACATTGCATGGTCTCTGGCTCCCTCTTTGTTGCTTAGTCATGTCCGACTATTCATGACCCCATGGACCAGAGCACACCAGGCCCACCTGTCTTCCACTGCCTCCCAGAGTAAGGTCAAATTCATATTGGTAGTTTTGATGACACTGTCCAACCATCTTGTCCTCTGTCGTCCCCTTCTTCTCTTGCCTTCACACTTTCCCAACATCAGAGTCTCCCTCTAGTGATCGGTTTTGATAACTACACCCTGGAAATACATACAGTGGAGTCTCAACCTAAGTACGGCTCCACTTACATACTTTTCGACGTATGTACTTCTCCGGCCGCGAAGTTTCACTTCAACTTGTGGCCGGAGAATTGATCTACGGACCAGAAGAGGGAGGTGGGGAAAGCGCCAAATTCATATTTGGCGCTTTCCCCGCCTCCCCCTTCCAGTCCGTAGGCTGCCGATCTGCCTCTGGATGCTTTCCAGGGCTTCTCTGCCGCCATGGGAGGCATCTTGGAGGTCCCCCCCCCGCTGATTGTGCCTCCAAAGCACGATAGGCGGTGGAGGGGGCCTTTGAGAAGCCTCCCATGGTGGCGGAGAAGCCCTGGAAGGCATCCTGAGGTCCCCCGCTGCCGCCGCTGCTGCTGGGAACCATGCCGTGCTGAGTGATCCCTGCCATGCTCGGACTCCTGGACTTCCCCCGCTGCCACCCAGTCTACTGGGGAGTAGACCAGGCCTACTGGGGGAAGCCCTCCCCTGGTAGGCCTGGTCTACCAGGCTTTCCCAGGCAGATTTGCATTTTCTAAGGCTGCTGATTCTTAATAAGCTGAGTCGGCAATGACCACCAACCTAGCACACTCATATAATATCCCAAAGTCATTTAGTGGGAAGTCATTTGTCAAGAAAGACATCTGTATTCATCACCTTCCTACGGGTCTAACAAATCCTGAAAGGCTTACCTGCATTTGTCTCTTGGAGGGCAACTGGATGATGGCTGTTCCATTCGCTTTCCGTATCAACACGCCACAAGTGCCTGAAATAGCAAGCAAGGATAATATCATCCAGTGGCCATAGGCTTTGTTTCAAAGTCTCTTCCCTGTGCTCTCCTGTGCAGTTGAATTGGGAGGGGGGGACCCCTGCAGATAAACTGCTTGGCTCAGAATTGCTAAGAAATGGGTGCTTCATTTGGGACTACAATTCCCAAAATCCCCATGAGAGCACCATGCTGGGAGTTGTAGCCCAATACAATAATATCTCCAGAGAGCATAGAGACCGGTTGAGGCTTTCTTGCCACCGTAGTCCAAAAAAGTTACTTCCTCAAGCCAGTGAACTGGGCCAGCTCCATCACCTTGCGGCCAGCCTTGGGTGTCTCCTTCCACACTGAGCAGACCTAATGGAGGCTGCAGCATTTCACAGAAAAAGACACGTTCAGCCATCTTAGAGCAGTCATTGCAAAAGAAGAAGAAGAGGTGAAATTTAACCCTTACTATTGTGTTCTTGTTGCACCTACATCCTGCCCATCTCCCTAGAGAGCCCAAAACAACACATGTGGCTCTTTTCCACTACAGTTGGCCCTCACAGCACTCCTAGGAGGTAGATCAGGCTGGGGGAAGGAGTGACCAAACATCCGGCCATGGTTTCCATGGTTTATTGGGTAGTAGAAAAGGATGTGGTAAATCCATGTCCAGCATTTAAACTACAGCTGTGCCCCGCTTAATGATTACCCCGCATTACGGCAAATCCACTTCATGACAAGACCCCGCATTACGGCGAATCCGCTTCACGACAAGGTTTAAATGGGTTTTTTTCGCTTTGCAAAGATCGGTTCCCCGCTTCGGGAACCGATTCTTCGCATTATGACGATCAAAACAGCTGATCGTCGGGTTTTCAAAATGGCCACCGGGTGCTCAAAATGGCTCCCCACTGTGCTTAGGGACGGATTCCTCGCTATACAGGCACCGAAAATAGCTGCCGTATGGAGGATCTTCACTGGACGGTGAGTTTTTAGCCCACTGGAATGCATTAACCAGGTTTTAATGCATTTCAATGTTTTTTTTTATTTTCGCTTTACGACCTTTTCGCTCTACAGCAATTTCACTGGAACGAATTAACGTCGTTAAGCAAGGCACCACTGTACAACAGCACCGCTATACAGGCACCGAAAATAGCTGCCGTATGGAGGATCTTCACTGGACGGTGAGTTTTTAGCCCACTGGAATGCATTAACCAGGTTTTAATGCATTTCAATGTTTTTTTTTATTTTCGCTTTACGACCTTTTCGCTCTACAGCAATTTCACTGGAACGAATTAACATCATTAAGCAAGGCACCACTGTACAACAGCATACTAGGGGTTTCGGTACATGAAGGTTATTGGTTTTTCCTGCCTCTCAAGAGGTTTGCCCTGTGATGGTTGGAGAAGCTGCAGTTGGATGCTTGCAGTTCCTTTACCATTTACTCTTCCTGGTAGCTGGGAGAAAGCGAAGAAAAGGAAAAGAATCCCAACGTTTTCTAGATCTAGCCATCTGCCCACTTTGCTCTATTGCTCCAAACTCTTTATGACCAATCTTTGGATGCTGACCTGCTGCTCGGATATACTGCGCTCCTTTCCCAGGATGGCTCTCTACGTTGTTTATTAGGGTCCCTATGGGTAGAGCCCCAAGCGGATAGGCATCTCCTTCCTTAGCCATGACTGAAAGACAAAAAGAACACCACCTTGTAAAATATCCAAAAGCAAACAAGGCCTAGAAACACCAAGCAGAAGATAGGGCCATAGTGAACTTAAAAAACAGGAGGGGAAAAGCCTGCAATGGAGGAATAACCTCGCCTTCCACTTGCCTTGCCCAGCAAAAAGGTAGGGGAGGCCAAGTCATCTCTCTCTCTCAATCTCTCTCTCTCTCTCTCTCACACACACACACACACATACACACACACACAGAGAGAGAGAGAGAGAGAGAGAGAGAGGATTCAATTCCTCCAGCTGAAAGTTGGAGCTCGAAAGTAATACATTGTAAACCATGTTAATGCCTTATTTCAAAATTGTTCTTTGCAGGGATCTTTAGGAGGAATTTTTGGCCATTTAGGTATTTGTTTAGCCTCTAAAAGTGATTAAAATCCATTTTTTAAAAGGGCACTCATAACATGTTACTTATAAAGCTCCCCATATATTACCCATGTTCTCCTTTTCCAAAGAAACGAGCAATGCCGAGACATTAACCATTTTAAGTAATATTTCCAAACTCTGCTGAAAACACTTTGGCTGATCTGTGTTCTCAAGCCTGGGGTGGGGGTGGAGGGGAGTATATACAAGCTTGTCATCCAGAGCCCCCTTCTCATGGCATAAATTACCTTGGATACACACGGGATTAATCAGTTCAGTCATAAGTATGATGCCAGAAGTCTCCCTGAGAGAATCTACTCTTTGCTCTAAACTGAGAACTGCCACACAGGATATGCCTCAATGAATTTATGTTAATTTTCATGTTGCCTGAAAAGGGAGGGGTGTCCATCTTGAACACAAGCTACTGATTTTTGTTCAATTCCACACCCACCCACAGCTAATAATGGATTTACCCGACATTCTGCTTATTTTTCCTGAAGTCTTGATGATGTCGCCAGCCTGCATGTTTTCTGTTGCAATGATCCAGCGTTTCCGCTTCCCTCCAGCCACCAGAGCTATGTGAGCCGATCTGCCAAGGATAAATGCCAGAAACCAATAAGGCGGGACCAGTTTGGGCCACCAAATTCATGCCCAGCTACCAAAAAGGAAAACAGGCCATACCAACGGGGTTATGACACAAAATGTTGCCATGTGGAGTATTTCTACTTATTCTTAGACTTCCTAAACTTAAAGAGGTTCAGGTTTCCCACCCATCTCTCCACACACCCCTCCCACCAATACACATACCTCCATCCGCACTCTGTGTCCTTACTGGGCTGTTTTGAAGACTGTTTCAATTACATTAAGATAGTTTATTTTCCCATTGACTTCTCTGGGTAATTCTCACTTGTTTTTAAAAGACCCTCAAAACGGCTTCTCAAAGTGAGCCAGAAAATGACCAGCTCCTACAAAGGGATGTTTTTCTCTGTACTATCCTAGAGTTAAGGGAGCATCCTGCCATCCCCAGAAGTGTTATTCTGGAAGCCTTTTTTTTTGTCCTGCAAGTCCCAGGACTACCTTAAATCTGCTGATGACCTCCCTCATGGTTTTAGCTGTTGCCATTTTGGCATTATAAGCAAACACATTTGGAAAACTGAATAGGAATTTGAATATAAGGAACTTGGGAGCTCCCTTAAAACAATTTGTTACCACTCACCTGCATGGATCATACCGGACTTGAATCACTTTCTCCTCAAAAAAATCAGTCTCTGCTCCCTCTGGATAGTTGAGCCTTTTGAAATCAATCATACGGTAGCACTGTCTACTCCCTCCTCCAAGTCCAAGAATAGTAATACGACCTTGTGTCAAACAGAGTGTTTATTAATCCTCATATACTGTGTTTGAAATACTATTTGCAAATGAATGAGGAACAAAAACTAATGTTTTACAAGGTTGTGGGCAACCATCCTACTTCTGGGAAAGTTAATAAAAACTAGGCTGGCTTAAAAGGTTGGAAAAGAAAGAGTAAAAGCAAAAATAAGCTCTTGATATACATTTGAAGGAGAATTTATTATAGGATTAGAGATACAGGAAATTTTTCATATTAGCTAAGCAGCAATTAATATAATATTTATCGAAATACTGAAGTAATTACATTGATAATTTTGAATGTACAGCTTACAGCTTTCTCATTTCAGACAATGAACCCCAAACTGAATTACAGTACCTGGCCTAGAGCAGGTTCTTTAAGATGAAAAAGTATGTTAACATACGACAAAAAACAAACAAACTTCTGAGCTTTGAGAAAGCACATTGTGCAGTGCGATGTTCTCTACTGTAAAAGTAAGGAACCATGCATTGTAAAACAACATCACTGTTAAGAGTTGCTACATCCCAAGTCAGAAGAGCCATGATGATGTCCAATGTCCAGTAGGAAGGAACAAGAAGAAGATGAAACCAGCTATCTGAACGCTGACAAAAATGTGGGAGCTGCAGCTCAAAACATACCTGTGTGATCTCGGCCTGCTGTCTTTTTCTTGGGAATTGGCTTAATGGTATATTTGGTCCTGCATTTCCAAAATGCATCTCTAACTGCAAACGTAACGGCAGATGTGCTGATTTCACGGAACGCATGGAGTTTGCTTGCAAGACCAATGCCACTGGGAGAAACAGGTACCTAGAAAAAGCAAACAGCACACAGCTTTTCAACTGAAAGCTCTACTGTGCTTCCTCCACCCTGGATTAACTAGTTCTGGAAATTTGATGTTACAGTAATCTTATTCCTGCAGAATAGACAGGACATAAGAATAATGGACTTTATGGTTCATGGTATGCAAGAGGCAGGCCACAAAATATCCTTGAATTAAATATGTGTAAAGTCACATGGCATCAGCCAAAAATTGTTTTCCTTACTTCCAAACATGTGTGCAGATGTGTTGTTACCAAACACAAATCCAGAGGACTTTGCATTATTATGAATCTGTATGGTCAGATCCTGGCTCTAAAAGACAATAGATTTCAAGGATGAGCCATGGTGAAATCACACTTAATATGGGCCTTAATTTGTTAACAAATATGACTATCACTAAGAAATTCAATCCAGATAAAAGCTGCTCAAATCCACCCAGACTGAAACCAAAGGTGGGCAAGTACAACCCTTCAGATTCCTGATGTTCTTAGACTGTACCTCCCATGGTATCTCAACATCAGCTGTGTTGGATAGAGCTAATAGAGGCTGCAGTTAAAATATGTGAAAAGATACACATTCCCACCTTGTTATACTCAATGTGTGCCATATACCCACTATTGAGAAAGAGCATTTTCTGGATTAGGTCTTGAGCCCAGTATTCATTCATAGTAGGTAGCAAGATACCTCCAGCAACTTCACATGAAGGCATGATTCTACTTTTGCATTTTTCCCAGGAGCTGATATTCAGAGGCATGTCATTTCTGATCCCAGAGAAAACACATTAACTATCATGACAAGGATGGCTGCCCTTAACGGTACATTGGTACAATATATACTCAATGTGTGCCATATACCCACTATTGAGAAATAGCATTTTCTGGATCAGACCAAAGGTCTTGAGCCCAGTATTCATAGTAGGTAGCAAGATACCTCTAGCAACTTCACATGAAGGTATGATTCTACTTTTGCATTTTTCCCAGGAGCTGATATTCAGAGGCATGTCATTTCTGATCCCAGAGAAAACACATTAACTATCATGACAAGGATGGCTGCCCTTAACGGTACATTGGTACAATAACAAAAGAAAACAGATCATTACAATAATTAATAGGTGATCTTCACATACATAAATTGGCCCAATTCCCTTGACTAAAAACAAAAAGCCAAAAGATTGTGTCATACCTGAGAAATGCGAGGACATGACGACAACAACAACGATCCAAAATTCCGGATCAAGCCTGACACAGCCATACTAGTCACACTTTCTTCATGCTACCAAGTTTTATTAAAAAAAGAGAGAGATGAGGAGGATTTTGGTAAGTCATATGAGAAAACGTAACATCAACCACTACAATGGACAGGAAATGTTGCTAGAGATTAAGTGCTACTGGGAATATTTGTTCAAGCTGCTAGTCCAATGCACAGGGGCCAAAATGTATCAATGGATTTTTCCTTTTATGTTAAATGTTTATCCTGTCCCTTTCCACAGGAATTTCCAGTACTGCACACAGAATTTATTTCACGTGATCTTAGCAAAATGAAGAGATATGATGACAAGTTCACTCAGATGAGTGGAAATTTAAAACCAGAATCACACAGCCCTTGCTGACCTCCACCACAGTATTCCCCAGCCTAGTATCTAGATCCTTTGATGGGGACGTACTCAGAAGACCTACTGGATAAAATTCTGTTACTTCGTGTAGTGAGGTGCACTAGAGCAGGCCCACTGAAACAGCGAAGAACTGGTGAGTCAACTCCTTCCTAATTTCCATTAATTCAATTGGACCTATTCTACTGCAACTTACTACACAAAGCAACAGGATTGTTGAATGGGACTTACAGTACTTCTGCACAAGCATGTCTGTAAGGCTGCAGCCTGGAATTGCCTAGTTCTCTTTGGAACTAAATTCCTATGTAAGAAAGCAACAGGATTGTTGAATGGGACTTACTACTGCACAAGCATGTCTATATGGCTGCAGCCTGGAATTGCCTAGTTTTCTTTGGAGCTAAATTCCTATGTAACACACAGGAGATCTGACAGGGCAAGACGCAGGGGAACTGGCAAATTTACCCGCTGTTTCTCAGAAGGATCAACATAATAGATCGTTGCAAGCTGACGGAGTGTAAAGGAAACCCTTTTCACTCTCTAAACGTTTAAAAATACAACTCTCACCATCCGTTGGTGGGCAGGACTGTCTGAGCATCCCACGTAAATGCATGTCATATGCAAGCTTTCGAGCTCTACGGAACTCTTTCACAGGTCAGACCGTAAAAAAAAATGCCCCGTGTATTTTGACCATCAAACCTGACGAAGAGCTCTGTTGAGCTCCAAAGCTTGCATATTGCATGAAGCCATCTCTGATCATAAATAAAGATACTAACCATCTAGGACTTTGAAAGCTTGTCTGCTTTGTTTTTACTCCTTCGGATCAACTCGGTGTCATTTTTGTTTGAACTTCCACAACCCATTAAAGCACTGGCTATATTGGGTCAGGCTGCTGGGAGAAGCAGGGCCAACACACACACTCCATTTACTCAAGGACTTCGCATCCGATGTAGGGAAAACGCGACCGGTTGCTGTTACTTTAGGGACAAACACGTGTGAATGTATGACACGGAACCTCTCCCTCTCTCCAGAACCGGAAAATACTTCTCACGCGTCATTACAGCAATAGAAAAACGCGACTTACAGGCTCGCTTCAGTATCTCAGGCATACCGTTCTCCTTCTTGTCACCTGACCAAGGAGGCTCCACCCACTCCCGGTTCCCCCCTCCCTCCCGGCCGGAGCGAGGCATTCTGGGAAGCCGCCTGCCTCGGCGAGGCCGCCATGTTGGATTTAAAGGGGCTGCGGCGAGATTGGGCGGAGCCAGAGTGAGGTTTGTTTTCCTCTTCGTGCCGCAGCCGAGGCGGCCCCCTCGAGCGCTCGGCGCATGCGTGGCCCCCTCATCCATCCATCCATCCTCTGAGTCGGCTCCCGAAGAGCCCCGAGGAAGCCGCAGGTAGGGTCTTGGGGTGCTTTCCCCCCCCCCGGGTGCGATGGTGGTGTTCTTTCTTTTTTTTCAAACAAGAACGGCTTTCCTCCGCTTGGCATCGGAGCGCCCTGTCGCTCGGGGTGGGGTCGCCAAGGGAGAGGCCTCGGGGGGGCGGCGGCGGCGGCGGCGGCGGCGGCGGGGGGGGGGGGTGTGAATGAGGGAGCGG